ATTAAGATCAATATTGTCTTGAAAAATATTCAGCTCTACTTTAGATTTCATTCCATATGAAATTAACTGTTTTGTTTTGAAGCAGTAATAACATGCAGTTTGCATCCTTTCTTACCCAAGCATCTAGACATCATTAGTCACTTTTGGTGTTCCTGGAAGTGCTGATGGCTAACACAAGTTGCTTTGCACAGGTTGCAGTCTTACAGATTTGGGAGATCAGATTGAGGTCAGAGTAGTCTCGATATTAATTTGTAATTAATATAAAAAAATATTAATTACAATATCGGAAGATGTAATCACAGTTCTGGGAAGTAGGTGGGTTCTGGGACTCTTAACTGTGCTTCTGTATTTCCATCAGTAAAAGCACCAAGTGATAAAATTGGGTAAGTCTTCTGATTTTCTCTGGAGGACCTTAACATGAAGGTTATGCTTACACTTAGCAGACCATACTGTCCCTTAGGCAGCTTTCATCCTTTTCTTTTTCTCGCGTGTGATGAGCAGGCTCTGGGACGGGCAGGAGCTGACTCCTGCAGGGTGGATGCTGATCCTTTGGGAGTGATTTTGGAAGGGACAGATGCCTTTGAGGGATCCAGGCAAGTGAGACCTAGGGCCTGGTCCCTTTTTCACACTGGTAGTAAAAAACTGGCTCAAGAACTGGGGCTTTTGTTGAATCAATGTGCTAATATGGGGCAATGTGTCAAACTTTGAAGGGTGTGACTGCAGGAACATCACCGGGGAGTAAAACCAGTGAGTACTTTGAAAAGTCTTGGCCTCAGTCTGTGCTCCTATTGCTTCCACAAAGGGGATAATACTACTTCTTTTAATATTACAGATATTGTGAAAGTGAATTAAAAGCTTTTGAGGTGACTGGAAAGAGCAGTGATGAACGTCGTGGCTTTGAGTCCCTGAGAAAATGAAATATTGTTCATTCTGTGCATGGCTTGGCTTGTATGAAATAAAAAGGCATGGGGCTGTGTGGTGAGCTACAAGAAGAAATACCGAACAATTGCTTTGTTTTCCCAAATCTGATCTGCTGTGTGCACTCAGTGAAAGTGAGCTCTGCGGAAGGGTGGATTTTTGTTTTATATGTGAGAAAGGCAAATCAAGGTTTTGCAGCTATCTTTAATTCTGCCTTGGATTTGTAACCTCTGTAACATTCTCATACCACAGCATTTTATTGTGGTAGTTTTAGGAAATGCTGGCAATGCAGATGATTTCTAAATTTACATCCAGTTTTCTATTATAAATCTCTCTTTATTGTTTATAACACTGCCAAACTGCAGGTTTTTGGGGCAGGAATTTCTCTCGTTTTGTTGTTAGATGCTGGTTTTAAATTAGTTTTATTCTTAGAAGTGGTAGCTCAAACCTCCAGCATTTACTTCCCTCCTCTTCCTGAAAACCTTGTTACCCTGTATATTAGTAAAATAAAGCCCTGCTCTTTGAGAAGCTTTGTCTCATCTGAGATCTGGAGGACGGATTTAAATTAGCCAACATGGCCAGAGATGGTGCTTGTGTTGAGGCTCCTTCCACTTGTGGCTGTTGGTGGACAGATTATCGTGGCCGTTGACATCCCATTTCCCAGCAGTGCCTGCTTGATCCCCTTTGTGGGTGTTGTACTCAGTGGTGGTGAGCCTGGATAGAGGTGTGGAAGGAGACCGTTTGTTTCAGTGCAGGCAGGAAAAGTCTGAGGTGAGTGAAAGAGCCTGGCCCTTGAAGAAAAACAGGTATTTGGAGGAAAAGAGAGAATGAGCTGCTTGGAAAAGGGGGCTTTTTTTTTGGGTAGGCTTAGGAGGTGGAAAATGGGTGGAGAAGATCACTGAGAACCCTGACCGGGCCTTTAAATATCTGAACAAGGAAACATTAAGGATTGGAAAGTGAGAGGAGGAGGAGACCCCTGACAGGAGAAGATTGCTGTTCTTTCCACTGCGGCAGCGGTGAGGTGGCAGAGCAGAGGACAGAGCAGGAAGGAAGCAGCTGGGTGACAGAAGAGACCAGCGTGGAGACTGGAGCTGGGGTGTGCTGGTGGTGAGAGTGGCTGAGTGCTGACGCCTCATGGGAAGATGAGGTGATGAGGCCATAGTGCTGATGTACTTTAGGCATTGCCTTACACTTTCCAGTTCTCGCCCCTTGTGCGTTGGGAGGTTTTCTTACTGGTTTGAGTGCTTGAACTTTGTGGTCCTCTTATGTAGTGCTGAGGTCTTCCCTGTGTGATAGGAATTGAGTAGCACAAGTTTAAACCATACACTTAGACATGAGTGGCTCGTGCACCAGCCATAGAGAGAGCACGTTGTTTGTGTTTGTACTTGGGAGGAAGATGAAGAAATGAATGATTTTCATGATAGGCACAAGTCCTTGCTTAAGTTTCTTATTTGCTGCTAAGAAATCTTGGAAAAGCAGCCCGAGGTGCACTGCTGGTTTAGTTTTGCTTTTTTAGATTAGTGGCCGTTGCATGTAGTTCTTGGTTTAAGGCATACTATTTATGTCTCAAAGGATTGTAATATAAAGCATTTATGGACACTGAAAAACATTCATAAACCACAAACGTATGACAGGAACTTGGAGTTTTTGGCAGAAGTATTCCAAGATTGGTTTGAGGTGGTCTGGACCATAACTGAATTTTTTTTTCTCGTGTATTTTGTGTTACTTCAAATGTGAGAACGAAAACCTTGTTCCTGATTGCCTGGCCCTAGCTTTTATTTTTTTTTCATTTCAAGTACTCACTGAAAAATGTTATTCTGCTTAGTCAATACGATTGTGATTTTTTTTTTTTTTTTTGAGCAAATGTGAGGTTTGTAGGGAGGGAGAAAAGGGAGAGGGGAGTTACGTCAGTCTTGAAACAGAGCTGGGTTAAAAAGAATCCAAATGATAAACTTTCCTTTTATAAAAAAACCCAACCAAAACCCACAGACAAAAACCCCAAAACACCTAAAACCCCCCAAACAAACAGGAAAAAAACCCCAACAAACCTCCAAACAGAAAAAGCCCCAAACCATTTTATCTGAAACTGTTTTTTCATAATTCAACTCAAGCACTTGATAGAAGAAAAAAGTTCGACTAGCCTATCTTGGTGATATCTGTGTATACATTTGGAAGTGAATATGCATGGACTTTGCTAATTTTATTTGTTCAAACAAATCTTAATTGAAATATAAGCTAACTTGAGGATTGCTTGTGGGTGGGTGAGTAAGGGCTTGGGAGCTCTATGGCATGTGTGGGAGCTGTTTCGACTGAGTGGTGCCGGAATTGTTATGGGTGGTGCACGGCTAGGATATGCCTAGAGAAGGGTCAGGGAGAGTGGCCTTCACCAGAAGGCTATGTAGACAGCAAGTGGTCCCTCCTCAATCATTTGATCTTCATTCCTCATCCTGTATGAATGAAGTTTCCAGCAGGGACCTTGAAGGAGAGAGCCGCCCCTTCAACAGGACACCTGTCAGACTCAGTGGTGGGATTGAGCCTCTTGTGTGTCTTTGGAAGCTTCCTCCCACCCCATGTAGATAGCTTTTGTGAATTAGATTTAGATAATATAGATAGGGTGAATTTGAAACTTGCATTCCAAGGGAAAAAAATAAAAGTCATCCCTCATACTTATCCACAGGCCAGATTTCTTACAGACATTCTTGGATGTGTTTGCACAGCAACTAGCTGCTAAGTTACAGTATCTGCTGGCAGTTTTTCTCTGGGTAATGAAATACTTTATTTAATTTCTTCCTTGGAAAAAAATCAGGGACATGTAGGACATGAAGAGTAGAAGGCTTGGTTCTTTGCCACTGGTAATCCTTACTTTTGTAGCAAAGCAACCCAGGACTAGAGAGATGGTTAGAGCTTTAGGCCAGAGGCTGCATTGCGTGTCACCTGTAGCGAGGTGCTGTGTGTACATGGAAGTACCTTGAATTAGGTGGACTTTAAAAGATTGAAGTGTGTTTTCCCACTTTTTCAAGAAAGGTGACGAATATTGAATCTAAATGTTAACTATTGTAAAAAAGAAGCTTGCCATCACTGCTGCTAACTGTAACAGCCTGTTGCAGCACCTTTATTTGAACAAGCACTTGAAAGCTAGCTAGTTTGTCGTAGCAGGCTGCTGTGGTTTCTGTACAGGCTGTTTGTTTAAAACCTGCACAGCTTTGGGAATAGAAGATTTTTTTTCCAATCACCCATCAATGACTGCCATGCTTCTGAGGTTTACTTGCTTGTATTAAAATAAGAACTGCTGAAGAAAAAATTCTCCTGCATTATTAAGAGCTCAGGGAGGAAGTGCCTTTGTATCTCAGCTGGTGCCGAACAAGTAACTATTCTATTCAACACTACAAAAGCTGGTTACAGCCACCATGGTGACAGGGGCTGCATGGGGAGGGTTAACACTTCAGCTCCTTTCCCCCTCTCTCTTTTTTTCTAATACAGATCTCTGTTAATTTGTTTTTTCTTTGTCATTTTCTTCCTATAATTGAACTGTTCCTGTTGACTAGCATGAAAATGAATTGTGCTAATCTGCAGCACGTATTCCTGAGCCCTTGAAATTTTAAATCAACTGGCTGTGTATCACTACAGCTAGAAAAGGAGCTGTTATCTGTGATAATATTGAAGACAGATGGAAAACTTTATTAATGATTACATAGTAAAATAGCGCTTCAGGAATAATATGGAAAACTATTTAAGTCATTCCATCTCTTCCAGTCCTTTAAACTGGCAGAGGGGAGTTTTAGGTTAGATATTAGGAAAAAGCTCTTCCCTGTGCAGGTGGTGAGGCACTGGCAGAGGTTGCTCAGAGAAGCTGTGGCTGCCCCATCCCTGGGAGTGTTCAAGGCCAGGTTGGATGGGACTTTGACCAACCTCATCTAGTGGAAGGTGTCTCTGCCTGTGGCAGGGGTTTGGAACTGGATGAATCTTTAACGTCACTTCCAACCCAAACCATTCTAGGATTTGATGATTCTATGAAACTTCTATACATTCTAGGAAAGGCAGTAAGATGATGAGGACTTTCTTCTGTTTGTTTTGTTTTATAGGTACTTGGAAAATTACACAGCAGTTCAGTGCTTAGACAGTACACGGCCAAAGCAGAACTCCCAGTCTTCACATGGGATACAGCTTATAACGGTAAGCTTAAATTTTTAGAAGCAGTCATCTAGCTTACATATCTGCACTAGGAATAGATATGGAGGCCCTAGAATAGCATAAATACATTATTTGAAGAAAATGAAAATTTAAGTTTTCTTTTTGGAGTTAATATATGTCTAATGTTCGATAAACTTATGGATATTGGCTAGAACCATCTGTTAGCACTGCTTCATTGTTTTTTTTTGTGTAGTCTTTAGTAAAATTTATTATGTTGCATGAAAGGTGTATGTGTGTTGCACGTGTTTCTAAATGAAGTCAAGACTGTCCATGACTTAAGCAGCACAAAATGGTTGGTATTCATAAAAGGATGGTAGAAAACAGTGCCTGTGTCTTTAGGAAGAAACAGATACTTTGAATATCTCTACACTGTACTTTCCTATACATTTTTCCAGTTCAAACTATGTGTACGTTACCTAATTCAGATGCTTTTTTCTTTGCTTGCAGTGGGATGCTGGTCCTTGCTTCCATGTTGGATTTTAGCTGTGGGAGTTTGATACCTCTCAGCAACTGCTGTCTTTCCTCAGTATTTGACCTAGAAACCAAGTAAAGCGATGAGGAGATTTGTTTACTGCAAGGTGGTTCTAGCCACTTCTCTCATGTGGGTGCTTGTGGATGTCTTCTTACTTCTGTACTTTAGTGAATGTAATAAATGTGATGATAAGAAAGAGAGGTCTCTGCTTCCTGCTCTGAGGGGTAAGTGCCAAGTCTAAGGTGTCTTTAAAGGTCACAGATTTTTATTTATTTTTTTTTACGTATTTAGCCTCATGTTTCTTTCTCTGTACTTTCTAAATTATTTTTCCAATTCAAACAGACAAAATACCAGGATCTGAAGAATTTTGTTTCTCTAGTGCTGTAGTGGTTTCTGAATTAATTTTTGTTATCCTAGTGTTTGACCTTTGCTGTAACAAAGCCTGAGTCTTATGTTTTCTTCAGTGAAAGTAATATAAATTCTTCACAATACATGGAGGAGAAGACGGAAGTAAATATATAAGTTTTTTATACGAAGTCATTTGACCTACAAGATAAATGATTCTCTATGATTCCATGGTTGTTTTTTTTTTTCTTCATTTTTGAACAGTACTTACTTGTAAGCTTGCTTTTAAACTCTTAACTTGGGTAGAAACAGTTGTTCCAAAAGATTAGATTCCCCTCCACCATATGAAAACATTAGGAGCAAGTCTGAAATGCAGATGGAGCAGAGATTCTTGTCTTGCTCCAAATATTTTTAGCAATGTAATTTACTAGAGGGGAGTTCATGAAAGGTGAGTCTTGACTGGAACTACAAGATTTCAAGTTTGTAATTGCTAATTTCCAGAGCTGCCATTCACAGGATAGATTGCGTGCTTCTGTGCATCCAAAAGATGCAAGTGTTTGCAGTTTAATACTTGACAATGAACTTGAAAGTAACCTGTAGAAGCTGTAACTGATGTCGACTGCTGAATGCAGTTAAGACCCATGAGAAATTTACGAGAAGAACAGGGAGTAGAAATTTACAAAATACAGGTGTTTGTTTTTCTTTTAAATTAACATCCTAGTCTTAAAGAGTTCAAGTTCAGTGTATGGAAGAAGGAAGATAATTTGAATCCCTAATAGGATTGGAACAGGATTAATTAGAACTAGTGCAACTGCTTTTGTAACATGTTGATAATAGACAAAAACTGTGCCTGATGCTGTTTCTCTCTTTGTAAATACAGGTGCATGTTAAAGTACTGATCCTTAGTTTTGTTCACAAGATAAATTGTTGTCATCTTTTTAAAAGCACTTCGGGGTTATAGTTCAATTGAATTGATAACTTTGCAATAATTCGAAATGAAACTGCCATTCAGTGGTGGGTTTGTCATGTCACAATTCTTAAATGTATTCGGAAAGCTTCACTTCCACCTTCCAATCGTATTAATAGCTACATGATATTAAAAATTATTTTTTCAAATGAAGGGGATATTGCTTGTTGCCATAGTTGTTTGGGTTCTTTTTTTTTTTTCTTTCCCCTGTGTGATTGAGTTTAGCCTGTCTTTAAACAACTATTAGGCAACAATCTGGCATATCGTGAAGGCAAAAAAAACCCCAACCAACCCATTTTACCTAGGCTGTCAGCTGCAGAAAAGTGATCTTAAATTGTTTTTGAAGTATGCATTGGAATTTTCTCAGAATTTATCACATTTTGTGAAATGACTTTAATTGGTTGCATTTTTTGCTATGTAATTGGATAACAGAAAAAATATTAGAATTATAGAGTTTATTTTGAACATTGTCAACTTTTAAGTGAATCTAAGGTTAAAAGATGATATAAACACGTCCCTGCCACCACCACTGAAATTTAACTTGCAAGTATAAACTCACCTTTATTTCTCAGTGCAATACTATGCAATACTCCACTTTTATTTTGAAGTACTCTGTTGCATTTGACTACTTGAAATGACTTTTTTTTTATATTAAACTTACTAACTCTGTGTGCTGTGCCTGTTAAAAAGAGATGAGGTTTCTGTGCAGAGATTCTGAAAGCAACACTGCTTCTTGCTCTTAGGTTTGAGAAGCAAGTTATATTGCATATATAACATTATTTCTACATTAAAACTTGATAAAATAAATATTGAGTTTCTTACTATACTATTCATGTTCTATATAAATATCGTAAGAATATTTAATTGTAATTTTTACAAAATCAGAGACACTAATACAGTTTTATTGGAAATTGATTCTATGTCTTTTTTTGTTAGATAACTGAAACTCACCAAGGCTTCTGCCACAGAGGAACAAAATGAGTCAAAAGCAGAGTTCAGTCTACTTCATCCTTAATTTTTTGATCAGTTGTTTAAGGGAGAAGTACCTCTACTCTGCTTGGTCATATACGGACTTAAATAACAACAGTTCCAGTATATGAGAATTATTGAACATTCTCATTGAAAAGATTTTGAGTTTTGGAAAGCGTTGTTTGGTAGATGCGAGCTGTTAATTCACTGAAAACTGGCTTGCATAAATAATTGCAAGAAACCTACTTTTTCTTATTTGCAGCTATAATTGAAGGTTTGATAACTTAGAATGTAGTTTGTTGTGTTTTGTGTTAATATATCCACCAACTTGAAAAATGATACACACTGTTCCAAATAAATGTATGTGTTCTTGAATGAAATTTACATTCCGGTCCACTACATTCAAAGTTAATTTGTCTGGTTTTTTTTTGGGTTTTCCAATGTCCTAAATATTTATTGTTATATTAGATAGTCATAGGTATTGCTATGTCAGTGTGCATATTTGAAAATACAAAAAAATTTTCTCTTTGTTATGGTGATTTAGCAAAATGATTTAATTTATTTCTGTTGAAACTGTATGTGTTCTGGTGGAGTAATGAGAAATGTTTTTTAAACTTCTGTAGCTTCTAGTGCAGCAGACTACTAAAACCTCCTTACTGTAAGTGCCATGAGCTATTATGATGGAAATGCAGTGTAGTGCTGCTTTTTTGCTGTAAAGCACCTGCATGGTACTATCACCTTTGTCTTATTAATAGTGTATTTATTAGTCTCTGAATACCTGTAATTGAGAATGCAGCTTATCTGTAAACATAAAAAGCAACAGAATTACAGTATTTCCACAAGGGTATTAAAAAAGGCACAACAAGAATCAATACACTATTAGAAACTTAAATTGGACATGTTAATCCAGTGTTTGAAGTCACTTAATCCATCATGCTCATCATTAATTGGAGAGGAAAGATTCTGCTTATATAGAAAGGTGTGTTTAGAGGTGAAACTTTCCATGCCTTTTTCAGTCATAGTTACTGTATTCTAAATGGTTTGTAAAGACAACTTTACAGTAGAAGAACTGTAAGCAGGGACAGCCCATGGACTGGAACACTGCTGTCAGGAATCCCCCTCTGACGTCTTGCTGTACATCTGTAAGTGTACAAGTGACAAGTATAAAAGCTGAGTGTTATAAAAATGAGCTGTTGCTGAGCTGGGTTAGTGGTATTGCTTAACAACTTGCAGGTGTTATCCTGATCAACCCTGAGCTGGCTTTCAGTCAAGTCATCATTACTGGCATCTATTTTCATGCCACTATGGAAAAAAACCCAAAACATTTATTTCTTAAACTTACATAATACTTTAGAGGAGAATGAGTGGAATCCTTTCACAGGCTCTGGTTATCAGTGGCACAGAAACTGTGAAAGTATCCTATGAGCAGCTTGGCAGTTCTGCTTCACTCGGTGTAGGATCCACAGCCAAAGGATTGAATTATGTCACTGCTGCTTTCCTCTGACATTTAAATGTGTGTTTGAACATAAATCGGGCTGTCTGATGTGGTGGTGTTTGGGCAGCATTGTCTAGATCTTGAGGTGATGGAGAAGTAAGTTCCCAGGATGTGCATCAAACAATGGGGAAGCTCTTTCAAGAGTAATCTGTAGCATAAACAGGATTTCCCATTCCCAAAGGCTTACTTGCGTCTTATAGGAACCTGCTCAAAAGCATATATATTTTCCTGGAAACTCATGTTTTTCTTGAATTGCAGGAAGCTTAGTTTAGGACTGGCTATGCCTACACTATAAGTTATACGAAAGGTAGAGGTTTTATGGAGAGCATTCTATTAAGTAGGAGTTGGATCTGGCTTCTCCCCAATGCAAGTAAATGCATATTGTATAGTGGAAAAAGGGACAGGAGCATTTAGAAGCGCTCCTGGTACGAGAGAGCAGACTGGAGAGAGGGTCCTCATCTCTTTTGCTTCTTCTCAGTGTGGTCCTTCCTGCAAAAGTAGGAACCAAAGCTGTCTTACAGGTTTAAAACATTGAGAACCTATGTGCATAGTCAGCTGCTTGCTTAGAAAGGGTTTTGAAGGGAAAAAAAAGTTGGCAAGTCCAAAATCAACCAGGCATCTGTCATCTTTACCCAGTGGGGTGTGTGCATGAGGACTTCAGGAACATGGCACTGAATAAACTGATGGGAGGCACAGCTGAGCCATCACTTAGTTCAGAAGTTTGGGAGTATTCAAGATGTATTGTATTGCCTCTTGCAGGACCCTTTCTGCAGCCTGAGCCAGTTGTGGATTCAGCATCACATCGGAGAAAATACCACTTGGTTTGTCAGATGTTCTGACTTGTCTTGGGCTCTTCTGTTCTGTGTAGGTGCAGTATGTACTTCTGCTTGGCTTCCAGCTAAGACTACTTCAGTGCTAGTATTGATGACAGCCACTTCAAATATTTCACAAGAACAGGTCTGTTTCTTTCAGAAAAGCTGGATCTTGAGGCCTGTCCGTATGGGACTGTATCTAGTCTTCTTTAGTGTACCTGGAAGCAAGTGCGTGAAATGACAAGCAGAAAGGTAGCTGCCCAAGAAAGAGGTTGCAAAAGCAGACTTTCTCATGTCATGAACCAGTTGTGTTCAATGTGATGTTCCCAGCAGATGGTTCTTCTGAACTGTGCAATACTTGAGCTGGCAGGACAGGATGCTTTTAGGTCTGCTTGAAGTAAGTCTTATCTTTATTAAAAGCAGAAGTGTCTTTTTTATGCACAAACTAGAAGTTGATTTACTCAGCACAGTGAGCTTGCAGTGAAGAAAATGTTTAAATCATACTGGGATGCTGTTAAATTCCAAGCTGTGAGATTGAAAGGGATTTTATGAAGAAGGTATGGTATGTAAAAGCCATGGTCCGTCCTTTTGTTTAAAAAATGGCTTGTGTGTCATCTCTGCTGCTTGTGTTGTCTT